TGATCATTCCTATATCGGAAATAAATATCTAGAAGCGGTATAAACAGTTAAAAAAAAGCAGAGACTGTGTTGAAGACGAAGAGCCTTCTGGTCGACCATCAACCGGCGAAGCTCACGTCCAAAAAATTAAAGTTTTGATGCTTGCAAACCGTCGATTTACAATTAGAGACCTTGCTGATGATGTTGGAATTTCAAAAGGATCGGTCAATTCCATTTTGGGCCTCAAACGCTTCAAATCCCGATGACTTTTTAGCATGCATTGAGGATTGGAAAAAAAGTTGGCGTAAGTGCATTGTGTCCGGTGAGGATTACTTTGAAGGCGATGAATTAAATTAGTAAGAATAAATAAAGATTTTTTTTTTAAATAATTGATCTTACTTTTTGGGCACAGTAGTAAGACCCTGTATAACGCTGCCGTTGTGAGACCACATTTATACTCGCGCTGTAGGATAACCATGTTATTTTGAAGATCAATGATAACAAAAAAAAATAATAATAATAATTAATACCTACTCAGTTTATATTATAAAATTAAAATATTACCAAACGCTGTTATTACAAATTATAACATTAAAGGTGAAAATAAAACGTTGAAAACTGAAAATTTTATACTGAAACAGTCAAACCCGTTTTTATGTAATCTTATTTTTTTTTTTTTTTGCGGTATAATAAAAAAAAATTCCTTCAAATGCGTATTATGAATAAATATTGCATTTGTTTTAATTAATTCAAAAGGAAAACCGCAGATGGCTATCAATATAACATGAATATGAAAAAAAAAGAATCCAACAGATGGCCCACCTGATAATATATCATACCATTACCACGAATGTTATTAGATGCGTGGCAGTGCTACATCGTGAGGTTTTGTTTTGCATATTTTCTACGTGGAACTTCTTTATGCAGTCCCTATTTACCGCATAATTTTTTTTTAAATGTGTTATTTGTATTTTATAGCTACTTATGAAGTTCAAAATACTTTTTTATGCAATTCCTTACAAAACTGGATTGACTATATATTGTATTGTATTGGAAAATAGCTGAATTTCATTTTCACATTTTTTTCGAAGCCTCTAATTAATAGTTTTTCAAGTCCTTATCTTTATTGTCTAATTGAAAACACAGTACAGTATTATACGAATTAATAGAAATACACGGAATTACTTTATTGGAACACTGTATTACATTTATACAGCACATTTAAATGTGAATAACTTATTTAAGACTAATATTAAACTATTATATCACTTTATTATAAAAAATAGGAAGGTATCTTTATTTGCTCGGAGTTATATATGATTTAATACTCTTGCAATTAATATAAATTGAATGCACCCTGTCATATACAAAAGTAGCTCAAGTAGAAAGCTTAGATAAGGAAAAAAGAATAAGCTAACATAAATTTTTGATATCGTTATTTTATGTGTTCTTCTTTATACAATACAGGTACGTTTACTTCTCTGAAGTAAATATAACAGATTATTTATTTTTTATGTTCAATGTAGTTCTAATCAGGTTTGAAATCAAGAATTTCAAGTTTTAGAGTAGTTCCTTTATAAAGGTTTAATTATCTTTTATGATTTTTTTTCTGATTTCTTCTCAAGAGTAATTGGATAAATTGAGATAAAACAGCTAAAGCAAGCATAAATCTCTAAGTCAAGTCAAGTTATAAAGGTTTAATTTTCAGCGTTGTTAAATTCTTTTATGTCTAGTATTTTAACAGCATTTGGATAAATTGAGATAAAGCAGCATCAGCGAGATTACATTGCAAATCACCTAGAAGTCACGTCAAATTCTTTTCTTCTGCAAAGAAATGTGAAATAGTCGAACGATCGACAAAGAAGTCTGCCGAAATTATCATGGGCAAAGAAATCAATAATTTCGAGTTTTAGAGTAGTTCCTTTATAAAGATTTAATTTTCACTTTTGTAAAATTCTGTTATCTGTAATATTTTAACAGTATTTGGATAAATTGAGAAAAAGCAGCATCAGCGAGCATGCATATCAAAGCACCTACTCAAGTCCAGTCAAGTCAAATTCTTTTCTTCTGTAAAACAAGTAATATAAAAAAAAAAATTTAAAGTCAATTCCTACTTTTTTTTCACTCTATTGCAGAAAAATCCTTTATAAATAATTTTCATTTAGTTTTTTTAAGTTTATCTGGGCTATATCTATTGGTAGATATATGCAACCTAAATCTAAAAAAAACCTAAAATTAATTAATTAAATTTAATTACTGAATTAATATTTGAAAAAAAAAAACTGTACTAACATTCAGTATCATCCACTACGAGTTCAAAAAAATGTATTTGAACTTGAGTGAATGAATAAAAAGTATTTTAATAACGATTGAAAATTTGAACAAGATATATATAGGGATGTGTGTGAGCTAATAGAAGAAATTGAAAAATGCGAAATAGCGGCGCGATCGACATAGAAGTATTTTCGAAACGAACGGCCCCTGAATCGGCCGGCCCGCTGGAAAAGTGTGTGAGGCCAAAGTTGGAAGTTTGCGCGCAAGGACTGCACCGAGATCGATAGAGATGTATTGCGCCACTTCCGAAGCCCCGACTTGATTACTATGATGATCACTTGGGAGAATTACGTGCGCACTTTACGATCGTAAGCGCCCCCCTCCCCTCCCATAAAAGAGACACTTTTAACTGGGGGCCCTCGGGCAATCAAACCATTTCCAGTCTCTCTCTCTCTCTGCAAAGAGATCGTTCTCGGCTTGGAGGAAAAGTAAAAAGAAAAAAAAAATGTTTATTGGTTGGGATTTGGTTTTATAGGTATCGTCAAATTTGCTTGGCTTTTCTAGGAATAAATCAAAGAGTTTAATTTGGTTTTCCAAGTAGCATCCAAGTATTGTAAGTGATTATAATTTTTGGAGAGAATTTTTTTTGGGGGAGGGGAGGGGGATTATTAAAAGGTGAATCTTAAGATCATTAAATTCAGCTGCTTAATATGCTCATAAAATGGTTCATAAAACTCTTCAAAGTTTTATTTCATTATAACCATTTGGGTTTTTATTTACTTGATTAAAATGCGCTATTATTGAATGCAAATAAAATCCGAAATAAATTCTATGGGTGCGCAATAAAACGCAAACAGAACCCATTATCAAAACTACCTAAAATTTATTAAAAAAATAATTTTCAAAATTTGTGAAATAAAAACTGAAAAGAGTTTGCAAAATTCATTATGATACAAATATATTATTCAAATATCAAACACTTTGAACTTCACCGCAGCAATTCCCTGATAAATGCTATTTTAATAGACCAAACCAGTGGTTCCCGTGACCACCAAGGTGCGAGTATCTACTAATGTTACTTAATTTAATATAATTAAATGTTACTAAGGGCGTACAAATTTGAATTGGTTTGTCGCTCTACTGTCATTTTGGACCACACTTTAGTCTGATTAGACCAGTACCTACAGTTTAATGTCGATTCCGAACCCCTAGCAAGTATCCATGCCACTTCCAGGATTCAAACCTTAAGCCTGTTGTACTAAAGGCCAGAGCGCTAAATGGCCATCAGGCCGTAAACGAGATCATCTGAAACATTTCAGGCACAACTAATCTAAAGAAATCTTATCTTCCAAAATTGTTCGACAGCTCACTCACACTCACAAATAAAGACTCAAATAATAAACACATGACGTGGACTGTATAAATTAATCTCCTTTATTTAGGCAGCCATCACACTCGAGGATGAACTGGCTACACAACCTGTCTCGTTGGTTACAGTTCTTCAATTTCCTCTCTTACATTCTTTCTCTTTCTCGTCATCTCACCCCCTGCCTGACATCCCCACAGACAGGATGTTTACTGGACATAGGGCGTTGACTTCCCCTTTGCACGGGAACCTGGGTTTTGACGCAACAGAAATAATCTTCAGAAAATAAGAAAGAGACTTAAAAATTGATTTCCAGATTGCGAAGAAATGCCACTTTATTAAACCAATGGTTACAAAAACAAGTGGTTCCCGCGATCCTTAAAATGTGGGTTTCTTTCAATGTTACTTTATTTAATATAATGTTACCAAGGGTGAAAGGCAGGGCATCTGAAAGATTTCAGACACATTAATTTTGCCTGCCAAAGATTGGCGAACTTCCCGTACCCGGAAGGAAGAGACTTAACAATTTGTACCAGATTGGGAAGTAATACCATTTTAGTAGACCAATGGTTACCAAACTAATGGTTTCCGCGACCACCAAGTTGGAGTATCTACGAACGTTACTTTATTAAAATCTATTATAAAAGTTCCAAGGGCGCAAAGCAGAGCATCTGAGACATATCAGACACATTGGGGCTGTCTAATTTGGAATGGCGAGCTCAACTCACTTCACCGAACCCGAAAGAAAGATATTTAAAAATTGATACCCAGATTGTGAAGTATTGCCATTTTATTAGACCAATTGGTTACCAAACTAATGGTTCCCATGATCCACAAAGCACGTGTATTTAAAAGTGTTACTTTAATATAACCAAGGGCGAAAGGCAGAGCTAATGAAACATTTTATAACCACTGGGTCATCTAATTTGGAATGCCAGGATTGGCGAATCTCACACCCACCTCACTTCTTCTCGAATCCGAAAGGAAGAAGGTTTGGTTTGTCGCTCTACGGTCATCTTGTGCACACTTTAGGCTAAACACACCGGGACCTACAGTTTAAAGTGGATTCTGAACCACCAACAAACATCCATGCCCCCCAGGATTCGAACCTGAAGCCTTCGGAACCAAAAGCCAGAGCGCTAGCCAGAAAGGAAGAAGGAGACTAAAAAATTGATCCTCAGATTGTGAAGAAATTCCATTTTATTACGCCAATGGTTAGCAAACCAGTGGTTCCCGAGCCGCCCCCCACCCCCAAGGTGCGAGTATCTCTCAATGTTACTTTATTTTGTATAAACTCGAATTATTATTACCAATGTATAATAAGAAAAATAAGTCAATTATTCAATTTATTTCTTTTAAGCCAACTTATTTCTTCTTAGCCAACGGCCATACCATGCTGAATATACCGGTTCTCGTTAGATCACCGAAGTCAAGCATCATTGGGCGCGGTCAGTACTTGGGAACAGGTGACCCTGACTTGGGTTCAGGGTGACCACCTGGGAACACCGCTTGCCGTTGGCATTCACAAATTGGGACCTGAATGGCCGAGTGTCTGGCGCTCGGTGAAACAGGTTTCGGGTTCGAATCCCGGCGGTGCCATGGATGTTTGCAGTGGTTCGGAATCCACTTTAAGCCGTAGGTCCCGGTCTCCTATGATTGTAAGAGCGTCACAGGAGCCCAAGTCAGGCTTCTACCTACGGGTGCTCCATCACAACAGAAGCTGCTTCCTTCCTGTTCATTCATGAGTACGTATGGGCTCGTGGGCTTGGCCAGCCAAGGGGGATAAGAAACAACAACAATTTCTTTTAAATTTCTTCACATTAAACTAATACCAGCAGAGCATATTCAACGTAACACAGCATGTACCACATGGGGCTACTAGCTATACTTGATCGAAGAGAAAAAAGAAGAAGGCCTTCAGGTAGGATCTTAAAAAATTTCTAGATTCCCGTATTATATTGGAGAAATCAAGCAGTTTGACTGCAAATGTAGGACTATTTTTCACAGTCGTCATAAAGTCAACTAGCTTTTGAAAGCAGTGATTAGAATGCACCACGTGAATGAAATTTCATTAGCAAAAGGGACCAAAGCAATTATAACTTTTCAATGAGGAGAGCATTTGATTCATTAATAAAACTGCTATTTAATAGGTAATCCTCAAATTTGTCTCTATTTTTTTTTTTTTTCTAATGCAGCTGGCAAACACTTAGACAGCTTGGTCTTGAATGCCTTAAGGCATACGCTGCACAGACGTTACTCACTTTGCATTTCCCAGGGGGCGCGTGTAACTTTAAGATAAGAAACGGGCGCGGAGTAACAATGCCCCCGCAACGCTCTACGATCCTATTAGGACCGGGACCTACGGTTTAAAGTGGATTCCGAACCACTACAAACACCCATGGCACCGCCGGGACTCGAACCCGAAACCTGTGGCACCTAGCGCCAGAGCGCTAGCCACTCGGCCATTCAGGCCCAATTTGTGAATGCCAACGGCAATATATTCCCAGGTGGTCACCCACCCGCTAATGGAATCGAACCATCATCCATTTACAAGCGGTTATCAGTTAACGAGAACTGGTATATTTAACAAATTGTATGGCCGTTTAATGGAGTACCGCCAAATTTTTGTTTTACGTTCACAAGACAAACAAACGAGTTGCTGTTGACCCAACTGAAAGTCTTCCCGAATGGGAAAGGAAGTAGGAAAATCCTCCCGACACTACTCCTTTCCCTGATGCAATAAATAACGGTGACCTACTGCAGTGGTCACCGAGTGAAATTTAGTGAATAGTGAAATTTCAAAAATTTGAAGAGTCAGTTGTTACCTACTGTGAAGATCTTACAAGTGACCATTTGTTGTAAAAAATTTTAATTATCAAATGAACTATGTACGTAAAGTAACGTATACAACATTACAATAATTTTTCTATAATTTTTTTTTTTAATTTAATGCATGACTTTTATGTTTTTATTAAACTTTTCCCTCAATTTTTTTTCAGAAAAAAAGATGGATTGGATAACGCACAAGAATTCTAATGAAAACAAACTCATTTCGAAATGTTATCTCACTCACTCAAACAAATAATATAGAACCTAATGTTTTTATGACTTCTATATTGAAAATAGGGGCCTGAATGGCCGAGTGGCTAGCGCTCTGGCGCTCAGTACCACAGGTTTCGGGTTCGAGTCCTGGTGGTGCCATGGTTGTTTGTAGTGGTTCGGAATCCACTTTAAAAAGTAGGTCCCGGTCCTAATAGGATCGTAGAGCGTTGCGGGGGCATTGTTACTCCGCGTCCATAGCTTATCTTCAAGTTACACGCGCCGCCTGGTTAATGCAAAGTGAGTACGTCTGTGCAAGCACTTGCCTTAAGGCTTCCAAGACGTCCATGTCTGTTTGCCAGCTGCATTAGAAAGAAAAAATATTGAAAATAGGCACGATATATCTGCATACTAGAAAACTCGTAAGTTGATGGAGATTTGGTTTGATTTGTCGCTCTACAGTCATTTTTTTTTTTTTTTTTTTTTTTTGCACACTTTAGGCTAATTATACCGGGACCTGCAGTTTAACATGGATTCCGAACCACTCACAAACATCCATGCCACCGCCAGGATTCGAACCTGAAGCCTGTGATACCAAAGGCCAGAGCGCTAGCCAACATCAGGCCATCAGGTGATGGAGAGAGGGTGCGAACACCTAGATGCTATACATATAGATGGTGGCAAATGTGTGTGCATTATAGCAAATGTCTGAGGATACAGCCTGGCTAACGCTGAATTTGCACTAATTGCAAATGTTTTGGTTTGTAGCTCTACGGTCATTTTTTACACACTTTGGGCTAATTAGACCGGGATTTACAGTTTAATGTGGATTTTGAATCACTAACAAACATCCATGCCACCGTCAGGATTCGAACTTGAAGCGTGTGGTACCAAAGGCCAGAGCCCTAGTCAATTGGACATCAGGCCGTCTCTAAGTGCAAATGAGCTCAGATAAAAAACGCCCGGCATTTGGGAAAAAAAAAAAAAAAAAAAAGACCACATATTTATTAATCTTTTCTTCTGATTTCATAAATTGGAAATCCTGTTTATATTTTCTTTTATTAAACTTTTCAAATATAAATATTTTGTAAAACATGTTTCTACAAAAGTATAGCACAGGAATTTCTTAAAGAGCAAATGCGAATCTTAAATATTCGCGTTACGAAAATCACTTCACCCTTTCTCCAGTATTCGAATAATCCCGGAGCAGCACCGAGTGCCCCCCTGCACAAAGCGGGAAAACATTTCTCCCCCAACTCGAACGCTCGAGCGAAAAAGCAAAAAGGAACGAGGAGCGCTCTCATTAAATTTATTCTACAAATGTTATACAAACTATCGATTACTCACTCACCTTCTGACCCGGTTTCCAAGATGGCGGATCTTCGAACATGTTTACTTAAAACTTGGCGTCTCCGAGCCCAAAACAAAAGCTAGAGCGATCGATCGCCTGCGCTAATAATCCCTTCGAAATTCTTCTCCAGCCCCCCTATTAGTCCTTCTCCCCTCCCCGATTTGAAATAAATAGTCGTTCCATTGAAAAGTGAACCGCTTTTATTTCGAGCGAGCATGTAAAACGACGCAGGCCGCGAAAATTGGCGACGGGACTGTTTGATTGGCTACTTAGATGGGCGATTTAGGTCGCCAAGTGGAGGCGCGGGACACTGCGGGCACAATGAAGGGTTAACCGAAGCGCGAATATTCTGAATTTTCGAGGTGTAGGAGCTGATCTGAAGATTCTTAGAGGGTGAGAAAAGCATCCTTCAGGATTTATTTAAGTGAGTATTCTTTTAAATAAGTACTTGTGGGAAGGAAAAATAAAGTACCAGGGGAATCTCCTGGAATTTTTTTTTTTAAACTTAATTGGTTAATCTGCAATCGTAGGTCCAAGTCTTTGGTTTGGTTTGTTTTTGATTCGAAAGGCATAATTTTATTTTATAAAATCAATGAATATTGCAAAAATCCCAGTTGAATACAAACATAATGAATTTCAAATTTTTGTTTGATAGGTAAAGTTTATTAATTTTTATTAATGATGCAAATTAATTATTATTACAAATGAAGTTTTGAAAATTTATAATAAATGTGTTACTTTCAAAATTAAATGTTTTTTTTTTTTTTAATTTTGAAAAATAATAATTTCATTTCTCATTTTATATAACTGATTTGAAATTATTTGTTTTAGCTATTATTTTTATAAATATATATCATAAGCCAATTCATTATAGTAGTTATTATTATTTTATTATTCTTTACGTATACTTTTGACCAATTTTGTTTAATGCATCCATTATATTAATATTTAATTATGCTGAAAAATTTTTAAGATTTAAAACAAAATAAGTTAGAGGATGCCAGATAAATACCTTTTTTTATTTTGATTTATTTATTTATTTTTTTTAAGAAAAAAATACACCTTTTTAGCCTGTTCCTTGACTTTTGAAACGATTTCAATTTCTGATTGCAAAATATTATCGAAATTCTGAAAAATATTTTGCAATCAGAAATTGATATCGTTCGAATATTTTTCAGAATTTCGAAAATATTTTGTGTATGTATATTTTAGCTATTTTTATTTATTTATTTTTCGTAATATTTCTGATAATTTTAGCCGTATTTTTTAATATTTCATATGCATACTCAGAAAATATGTTTTTGCAATGATTGCATTTTTTAAAAATACAGTAAAATCAGTATAGCGTGGTCATTCTGTTCTACATATACGTAAAATTCTGTTGTTGAGTCACGATAAAATTCTATTTTATGTATACACAATTCTTTTTGACGACTTGATTAAAATATGAGAGGGCAAGTCAAATTTTTTCAATCCAGATATCAAAAACTGGGAAAGAATTTATCATAGTCATAATTAATTAACTTCAAAAATGTTATATTAAGTTGGAAATATTAAGTTAAAAATTCTTGATAGCATATTTTTATTGGTCTTCTATATTCGCAAAATTAAATTTTTAAGATAAAATTTCAGTAAAGATAAAATTCATAGCAATAACTTTTTTTTTATCTTCCATACTCGGTAAATTATATTTTAAAGATAAATATTGTTCCTGTTAAATAAAATAAAAAATTATTGATAGTTAATAGTAATGATAGTTATAAATAAATATTGTTGATTTGTTCCTACATAATCGTTTCTTAATTTTTCGTTCTTCTATATTCGCGGAATTACTTTTTAAAGATAAAATTATAATAAAGATAAAATCCTTAGCAATAATAAAAATTTGTAAAAATTTTTTTCTTCCATAATTGTTTCTTAATTCTTTATTGTCATTCTATATGCGTAAAATTACACTTTAAAAATTAAATTTCAATAAAAATAAAATCCTTAGTAAAAAATTTTTTTTTTCTATAATTGTTTCTTAATTTTTATTGTTATTCTATATTTGCGAAAATATTTTTTAAAGATAAAATTTCAATAATAGATGGTTGTTTTTTTCTGTAATCTCTTCTTAATTTTTATTC